TTACGGGAATTTTTCGGGAAAAAAATATTCCCGATTATCGGGACGGGATTACATTTGACTCGGGAATTTTTCGGGACGGGATTTGGTCCGATCGTCGGCGATTTTTCCGCTTCGCGAGTGCCGATAACGCCGTTATTGCGAGCGATAGGTCCGCGAACGCAGGAGACGAAGTCATACCGACGATCGCGCCGTGACCGCGGAGTCCTACCGACGATCGCGCCGTGACCGCGAGTCATGACGACGATCGCGCCGTGACCGCGAGTCATGACGACGATCGCGCCGTGACCGCGAGTCATGACGACGATCGCGCCGTGACCGCGAGTCATGACGACGATCGCGCCGTGACCGCGAGTCATGACGACGATCGCGCCGTGACCGCGAGTCATGACGACGATAGCGCCGTGACCGCGGAGTCATGCCGACGATCGAGCCGTGATCGCGAGTCATACCGACGATCGCGCCGTGACCGCGAGTCATACCGACGATCGAGCCGTGATCACGAGTCACATCGACGATCGCGCCGTGACCGCGAGTCATACCGACGATAACCCCGTGACCGCGGAGTCATACCGACGATCGCGCCGTGACCGCGAGTCATACCGACGATCGCGCCGTGACCGCGAGTCATGATGACGATCGCGCTGTGACCGCGAGTCATACCGACGATCGCGCCGTGACCGCGAGTCATGACGACGATCGCGCCGTGTTCGCGAGTCATACCGACGATCATGCCGTGACCGCGAGTCATACCGACGATAACCTCGTGCTTGCGGAGTCATACCGACGATCGCGCCGTGACCGCGAGTCATGATGACGATCGCGTTGTGACCGCGAGTCATACCGACGATCGCGCCGTGATCGCGAGTCATGACGACGATCTCGCCGTGACCGTGAGTCATACAGACGATCACCCCGTGACCCGCGAGTCACAAGTTACTATAGGTACCTGTAAATTGTTACCCATTTTTTGGTTTTTATAGATCAGTGCCACAAATGGTAAAAATTGATTTCGTATGTCTTTTTTTGGTAACTGCAATACAGTACTTTCTTTTTATGTACAGAAAAAAAATCCCGTCCCGTCCCGAACTAAAAATTCAATCCCGTCCATCCCTAGATAAAATGTAACGAAATGTCTGATTTGAGATTCAACTTCCACCCTAAGCCATTACTACGGATCCAAGGTGTCTCTTTCACATGTGAATTCCTCAGTTGCACACCAGAACAGACTGAAACGCCTTACACCAATCGGCCAAGGCCTAGCAATATATTTGCAGTAACACCACTTGTAAACCAAAGCCCCAGCGTAGTTTGATGAAGACTATTAAGTAGCAACATATTCGTATTGACAGCTTTTAGTTGTATTCATTAAGATATGTACTCGCACATATAGTTTGATAACTTTTTACCAATAAGTCTTTGGGGCTTAAAGAGTTAAACTTTAAATACTATAATTGATTCCACTAAATATATTTATGTCTGAAAACAATTCTCTCATCTAGAATCTGGAATATCATATTACCGTATGTTTGGTAATTAAGTACAAACAAATGGTACGTTTACTCGATTCTAGAACAGACTTCACAGGATAATCTACACTTTAAAACAATATTAAAGCTTTAGCTAATAGTACCCTGGGACCGAGCCATTGCTCGTTGTAGTTTATTTCCATTTTAAAAGCAATATAAACTCACATTTTATTTACAACTAATTTTGGCTTTCATTAATTTCAGTTTCAGTGGAATTTCAATATATTCTGATGGGAATTTTAACCTGGCAATTTACAACGCATTAATTTATTTTACAGTAGACGGTGAAAATCACTCGTTTATAAAAATTTCCCCAGTACTTCAGGGATTAAGTTTTGGTAGGAGAAAGCCAAGTAAAACAATCAGGATTTGATCAGAACTATTTTCACCTAGGCTACATTGAGTAATCTTCAGTGAAATCTTTGCTCAATAGTAACAACTGATGTTTTTCACTTTGTACTGTATTTTGTAATTGTTAAGGTAGACTTTGGATGGCTGTTATAAATTCATGTTTCAGGTCTTTTGTCTACTTTTTCCTCGTTATTTTGTTCAACCAACATGGCAACATATAGGGCTAATGTAAAAGATTTTTTACTTTCAATTTCATTTTTTACATAATTAGATTTTTTGGCAGTTTACTGCCAAAAATACAGTTAAAAGTTAGTGTTTACAGCAGTTTACTTGTTTTCAGGCCAGATTATTTACAACATTTGAAGGAAATTGTCGAAGCTGTTTTTTAAAAGATCTTTATTGAAGCATAGACCTAAATGTACATTCAAGCAAACATTGCTCATCTAGCCCTTTCGCTGCCGGCATTTTTTCATTCGTATGATCGAGAACCGCCGAGTCCATTTTGTACTTTAAACGCGATGCTTATATAAAATGGCTATAACTTTTTAATTTTTGCAAATATTTTGATAAAACTTGTTTTTCTAGAATTTTGTAATAAAATTACCTTTATAAAAATATAATATTAATTTATAGCCTAAAGGTTTGAATGGATTTTTTTTTTTTAGGTAGCCTACTAAATGTAAGTAAACAAATTTAAAATAGGGCCTAAATAAATAAAAACTTTGAGTACCGGTACCTACCTACAACCAAGAGATTTAACTACCTATATGAATAAAAAATATTTTATCAATATTTGTGTTATTTTTTATTACTAATGTGTATACACACATTTGTTAGTAAGCATGCAAAATTTGAAAGTCCTACCTTGAAAAATAAGCTTCTTTTTAGGGTTTGAAATAAATTGTCTTAAGAGCGTTTTCATGTGTCATGTCACTCAAATGCACTATAGGCCTATAACATCTAATGCTATATTATGCAAAAGAAAAGGAAACTTTATGCCAAAAAACAAAGATGGAACCAACTATTTATAACATAAAACTATACATTTACACTTAGCCTAAAAAAGTAAAATGGTCTAGCACCATCTAGCACCTATGTTGGCCAAAACACACAGCATGCGTGACCTTTCTGGCACTATAGTGCATATATGGTTCGGGAGACTACAAGATTGCGCCACTCATCCTACACTCATCTCCATTCATACTTGGCTTAAAATAGGTACCGGTACCTACTTTGTACGGTCGCCATTTCATTGAAAAGTATATTAACGTATTTAAGATTTCTTTCTTTTTTCACAGCTGACTGCAATAGCCGACTGATAGGGCTAAATACACAGCAGATTCTCTCTAATTTATCTGGTAACGTTTCCATTCCAAACTGGTCATTTTGCCGCTGATTGCCTACTCCTGCCATCCGCAAATTGTCTCCTCCCGCTAACTGATACTTATGGTCAAGCCACTCTTTTGACATATACTGTCAAGTATAGATAATGTGAACTGAAACCTAAGTTTATTCGTGTCTTTTCCACTATGGTTTTCCTTATATATATGAAGTACAAGTTCAAAATCATTCTCGAAAAAATGTGTAGCTTAATACAACCTTTTTTCTAATAGGCCTACTGAACAGTCTGTTGCTCATCATAGGTGTAGCCTATAACATCTGGTTTGAATGGTCAGTACCTCTTCCCATGAAGGAGCTATACAAATCTATTAATTTATCTCTGGTTTTTCTTTTACAATTATCTCATTAATTCTTACTACTTGCCTAATATGCAGCAGAAACAGTTAAACAGTTTACTTTACTTTGAAATGGCGATTAATAAAATAACTAGGCCTAATGATATTTGAAGTTACCTATACCGGTACCTCATTATTTAGGGCCTACCATCCAATAACATTTAATAGAAGTTTAAAATGGTAGAAAGCTTCTCAGATAAATATTCAATGATGTTGACTGCAAATTTTGCAGCTCTTTCCAATCTATTTCGCACAAATCGGAATTCAACTTTAGCCGGGGATAAGCAGCAAAATTAAACTTAACACGTTTGCTACCGCAATAGTACAAAGTTTTTCATTTATATGGATCAGTGACGCACATATGTAAAGGCTGGTTTCTACCCATAGACTGCCGTCACATTTATGCGACGGCTAGTCACATTAAAATAGACTGACGTCGTATATTTGCGTCGGTGTTCCAATGTTATCAAAACACTTATATCTTTGTAACGGTCTATTTGAAGGCACTGAATTCTCTGCAGTGGTCTACAGGAATGTCTGACGCACATTTGCGTCGCTTGGTATATGGATATGATGATTGGCGACGTCTTATGATAGTTGGAAAAGCTGTTCTTTACTTAGCTGCATCATTGTGTGCTGTATGTATGCTGCATTATTCCATATAGCTTCTATATTTGTTCAATAATCAACTGTTCTTGAAAAATCTGTTTTTTACACTTAAAAACATAATCAAAAATGAACTGTAGCATATATGCGGCGCTTTGGCTATTTCAAGAAAAATAATAATTTTCAATATTGTCTTTACTATAGACTGGTTTGCGACATTAAAAAAGGTTATAAAAATATAAAAAAAACAAGGATATATTATTTACAAACAAGATTGCAGAGTATTACAAAGTAAATAATGACTGTGTAACAGGTTTTCGCCCGTGGTCTGCGTGTACTGTTAACCAAGTGACTGCCAGTCTATGTGCAAGATTAAATTAGGCCTATAGGTATACCTCGGTCCGTGGCAATGATCGTGGCGTCACATGCTCGGTATCAAACGTGTTAAAAGGTTCAAATAGGTAGTTTAATCAATTGTTATTAATCCACGGCTGCCGATAAGTAACAACATTAACTTATAGAAGGAACAACAACTTAACTTGATTGATTGTGACCAAGTTTCAAAACTTTAGTTAAGTTATTGGAGTGTATAAATTAAGAATTCCTAGATTAATATCTTAAGATAGAAATAACTTGCTTTGTCATGAAAGTGCCCACCAAAATTTAGGCCTAGCTTATCTTAACATACTTTCTAACCTACAAATCATTAACTTAAAATGGACTAAGTTAGGCCTAAATAAGTTTATGTACTTAACACAAGTTGTGATAATAAACTTCTTACCTTACAAATAATTGTTCTTGATTGTTCACCCGCCACGACACTACGGTTGCGCCTGAAATAAAATGTTGTTTTAATTCAAGCAATAATAGACCAATCCATCAGCATGGGGAGAAACAAGTGGTTGAGATAACCTCATTTAAAAAAAATAAACTCATTTTACTTAATATTAAACCAATTAATTTAATACTTATTGATTAATTTTTTGTTTATTGTCATAAGCAAAAGTAAAAACTATAATGATATTAAATTACCGTGTAAATTTATAGTGCATGTTGTGTTATTGCCTCTATCCAGTACCACAACACTCGTAGCAGCTGCCATGTTTAAATGCGAAACCGCCTGTTTTCACACAGCCCCGTTGTTGTTGTTGAAGACGCTGATTTCTGGTTGGTGGGGGGTTATAAGAAACACAGTGTACGGCGAATGCGCGGGTTTTTCAGCCCATTTGGCCCTAAAATTATAATACAACTTTATCATAAACATCATATTTTTACAATTCACGATACTAACAATATTCCATAAACCTTTCACTATTTTCCAGGTATTATTTGGTTTAAAATTCTGTTTTGTAGAGGGAAATCAATACGATTTTTTCAAACAAGATTTCTTATACTGGCCTACTACGTTAGACTAAAGACACTTTGTGTTTATAAAAACAGTTATTTCATCTAAATTCTTCTCGTAAATAAAGTGATTGTCAATAAGTTTTCTAAATTGGTCAATATAGTTGATTAATCTTTGATTTGCAGTTTGTTAATAAAATATAATTCTTTATGAAGTGATGCTAAACACTAATTTCGGTCGTTGATGGGTAGAAAAAATAAGTAACAAATTATATATATATATTTTATTACAAAATAAATAAAAGCTATTTATTATTTATTATAAATATTAAAAGACAAATAAATCTAAATTACATATATTACTAAACATTTTGATTCTTTCAATATATATGTTGGATGCCTGCTCCAACTTCTATATTCTCTAATCTATAAGCAAAGAGGATGTTTGTATATATATTTGTTTGTTTGTTTGTTTGGCAGTGATAAACTCAGACACCGCTGAACCGATTGCCACAAAACTTGGTACATACATGCAGAATGTCATGGAATAGGTTTATACACCATCAATTTCGTGATCCGTCCAATCGGCTCCGCCCCAGTGGCTCTGGAGTTTCCCTTATGAGAAATGGAATTAATGAATCTTAACAGCTGTTTCAATTAAACAAGTTGGTTCTGTTCTATGATGTTCAATAGCATTAAAGTTACAAGGATTACCAACAGGGTGCAGCACTATTATTTCTTTAACATTTATGACAACAGCTAATTTGCAACCAAAAGGTGAGTGAGCGTAGCGAACGAACTTCAACCTGGGGCCCGTTTCATAATAAACTACAAGTTACAACTTGTAACTTGTAATTTCCATTAGATTTGCATTGGGCGATCAGCTGATTTACTAATAATATTAGTTTGTACTTTATTATGAAATGGGCCCCTGGAGGCGAGTTAGCGTAGCGAACGAGCTAACCTGAAGGCAAGTGAGCGCAGCGAATGAGCTCCAACCTAAAGGTGAGTGAGCGTAGCGAACGAACTTCAACCAGGACGTGATTGAGCCATGCGAATGAGTGAATGAGATCATCTTGAAAATTAAGAAGTTAAACGGGGCAAAGCCTGCGGGATTATAAATAGTCAAAGGCAAGACAACGTCTGCCGGGTTCAGCTAGTGTATTATATTATTTAAAGTGAATTTTCCTTATTCTGTATCAATATTGTGTTTATTTACTTTGGAACTTTTAGATTGTAGTACATACGTGGTACATACGGTAGCAAATGAAATAGGTAAACAATACAGACATTCTTTGTATTTTAATGGCTCCCAGATAGCACAAAACAGGAGTGTTGTTTCCAATACATGGTCCTGGCTAAATTTTTACTGGACTACAATAGACACAGATTCCAAAACACGCATGTTTCAAAATAAGGGGGGCTATAATAGCCCCTGCATTGGACCGGGACCCTAGGCCCTAGAAAAATAAGTTGAAACACACATTGATCCTAAAAACATAACAGAGAATTTTGGACACAGTTCTAGACATTAAATATGGCTATAGAAAGCCGCAAAAAAACAGCATGAAAATACCAAATTTTTGAGGGAGGATCCCTAGACCCAAGATGTATGGAGTAAAAGTATACAGTATGTAAAATAAAAGTATAAAAGTAGGTATGTATAAAAGATATATGGAGTAAACTTTTACTCCATACATCTTGCCCTAGACCCCCTTCCTTCTTATGGAGGCGTGAACCCCCTGGTAGCCGCTCTTTACAAGGTTGATGAACCACCATGCTGACAGCATTTTATAATTGTTTCTTCATCCTCTTGACCTATTGATATGTAGTAAGAGTAGGGGGCTGCAAATCTCACCTTAAAATAACCCGCACGAGCAAATACAATCAAAATAAGTTACAGCTTACATTTTTTATATAGTGTGGTGAATAAATGCCATTTCCACGATTAAGAATTCTACATTTAAACGGCTTTGACTAACACATGTTTTCAAAGAGGCACACAGAAACAGAACACAACCGAACCAAACCAAACGTCAAACTAGATTTAGGTTTGGAAGCATCGGGTGCAGCTGAAGCTGAAAATGCTTGTTTTGAGTATGATGAATGAAATAGAAATTATAGTTATGGGTAAACCGTTTTAATAGTTCGTTAATAACCGCGGGAACTGTTCTAATTTAGTTTTAGTACTTAAAGAATTGCAACTTCGTTGGTTGATAACTGTTTCTAAAATGCTGAAATTTGGAAGTAAAAGTGATGTAAACGTTACCTTCAAGTGCACAGTTCGGTTGTTAGAAGATACTGAAATTGTTGAATGTGAATTTCAGGTGAGTTCATAAATTTTAATCACGGTTATTGCAGTGTTTGCTTCCTCTGTAATCTTTTGTAATAACTTTAGTTTCTCTACTTAAACATAATGCATGTAAAAAGAAATCAAGACACATACCCTAAGCTTTTCTTTCACCATGCCTTGATTACAACCCTATGTAGCCTTTTAAACATACTATTTCAAACATAGACCAAATAATGTACACCTTTTTTCCTAGAATGGATAATAAAAATTTTTTTTCACATATCTTTTATGCTGGAACATGCTTCAAGTTCAACCAACCGTAGAATCTATTAGGCTAGGCCTATATCAGCAGGCCTAGTTCTGGAGCGTTCCGTTTAGTCTCTATGTTTAATAGACCTACATGAATAAAAATGTCTGTTTATTCTGCCATCTGAAGGCTGGCTGGTTTAATCCCAAATGGGGTGTAAGTGTCCTTAACTTATGTCAAGATTCCAGTTGTCATTTGGCCTTCAATTAAGCTTTAATGGGACCATTTAGTAACATTTGGACCTAATGATGGACATAATAATCAATGCTGTTCTTAAGATACAGCTAAACAAAACCTGACCATTGCAAATAAAAATTTGGCCCCGTTAAGCATGGGTTCTGTTGGCCATTGTTGTCTTTGAATTTCAAATCACTTTAGATAAGTTAAGGAAGATCTTGATTTACAATTTTAATAGCAAGCGGCTCTTTACATTTAATGTCAGGTGGACCTTTATTAAATACAACCAAAAGCCAAGGAAAGAGGGATTGGTGTGAAGAGTTTTGTCTTGCACCTTCATTGCCCAGTTTAGTTGGACGACGATCTCACGACCATTTAAGCGCATTTAAGCATTTAAGTTTTGAACAAACAGATTAAAAACCAAGGAAACATTTTGCAGCACTTTTGCTTTTGCTTTGCTAAAAAAATTCATCTCAGATTTAATTATTCTTACAGGTTCTAGTTAACCTGCGCAGTATTTTTGTAGGTTGGCAGATAATAAGTTTGGGGAAGGGGTAAGGGGTGGAATATCCAAAGAAAATATATTTTTTATCTTTGATACTGAAACTCTGAACACACTGAAAGCAAGCGTTTGTTGTGGTCACAAGTAACTTATTTTCATCGCTTGCTCCAAGCACTTGAGAATTTTCTTCATCGAATGACTACGTACGGTCATGGACACACCAAAATTACAAAAAACACAATCTTACCTTTATTAATCTTGTAATTCCTCCTTTCATCTCAAAACGACCGGCACTACAATCCTGACGTACACCCCGAACTAATTTCTAAAACCAACTGACTCCATCGACGCCAGGCTTGCCACTGTCGTGCTCCAAAGTTGAAAATTTTTCCCAAATGGTCGTGACGCCAAATCAAGGGACAGACTTATTTTGTCATGGTAGTCAGTTTGCAATGACAATAAAATTATAATATGCTCCTTTTAGCGAATTTCCCATATAGGGAATAAGCTATTACCATAGGTCTCATGGTAAGACCTAGACCCTGGACCGATTTACTTTTTCGTTTTGAGGTCCCCAGAGGCCAAAAACACCATCCGTTCAAATTCATATATATATATGTATATATATATTTATATATGTGTCCGTTAGCGCGATAACTCGAGCAAAATTGATCCGATTTTGATGAAATTTGGTACAAACGTGTAAACCTACATTTATTCGAACGAGTTCGCGAACCAGCATAAGCGGACCATGGGATCAGGGGTTTATGGGGGGTTTTATGGGGTAAAAATGGGTTTTTCTCATTTTTGACCCTAAAAACTTTAAATTTCTAAATTTCTCTCTAGACCATTTTGAAGAGCTTAAAAAAACAAATAATTTAGTATATTGAAGTGTTTTTGAATGTTCATTGACTACGGAGAAAATTCAAAAAATTGTAAATTTAAAATTCCCATGTTATTCTTATGGAGAATAAATAAACTGTTCTAGTTTGCTTGTTTATGGATATATTTTAATCAAATTTGGCAATTTGGTTTATTTCATACTAAGCTATCAATATTTCAATTGAAAAAACACACCTCAACATCTTCCCCGTAGCAGCAAACCTAACTACTCACTAAAATTAATGTTATTTAAATAGGAAATAAATCTGAAAATTTATAGGGAATATTTTAGTAGAAATCAAGCCGGGTAAATGGAAATTCGCTTAGTATGCAGGTTTGCTGCGACGGGGGTATTTTGTAAGTTTAATAACCATTGATGACATAAAAATATGGCGTGAAAGTTGGAAAATGTACCCTAGGGACATGTCATGGTCGTGAATTTCGAGACTTTATAAATACGAAAAAATACCTAGAACCTATTTAAAACCAAATAAATGTGTGTAACATGTTGCCCCCGTCCCAAAAAAAAAATGAAAACACATAATAATAAACTACAAATCCAGTAGGCCTATCTACGAAGTAAAAGGCCAGGGACATGAAAACG